ATTATTATTATTATTATTATTATTTTCCCAAAAAGTGCGCTCCTGACAAACTAAAACATTGATGTAGGTACACCTTGTAGGAGTGGCTATAATAGAAAGGACCTGCAAGACAGTAAAGCAGTAATCAAAGGTAGAAAGACAAATAGACAGAAGAGAGGCTAAGAAAGAGGGGAGAATCTCCAAAAGTAATAAGCCTCATTAAAACTGGAAAACAGAGAAAGGGAAGAACAGCATGCAAAGTGCTCTGGGAGTTGTGGCTACCTTTCTAACAACAGCTGGAATGAAAGCCTGAAAGCCACAAGTCAGAGCACAGCAAAATGAAATTTATTGAAAAGATTAATGTAGTGTAAGCATATAGACTACTATGCATTTAAATGCAGAGGACATGATGCTGAATCAAGGACATGAAAACTGAAAATTAGATGGTGAGGATGCAAGCAGTGGCTAGGAAGAGCTGGGATCAAGAGAACAAGGTGAAGGTTAGCCAAAGAAAACAGAGCAAATATTTTCAGTTTAATGCAGTCCAAACCGGGATTACAGGAAATTTGAGATCCCATGATTTTTTGATCTTCCTGTTTTGTTCTGTTCTGCCATAGTCTTGCAGCTTTACATTTGCGTGTCCCCTACAGAAAGAGTCATCCCATTATAATGCCATACCTTATTTTTGTGATTAGGCCTATAGTTGAAATATAGAGTGACTCACCAACGGTATTTCAGCTGAGTGAACACAATGATTCTAATAACTGTCTGCTAATTAGCAGGTTTTTGAGACAAAGACAGTTGAATAGCTTGCATCCTCTGACACCCCAAATTAATAATGCTCCAGTAGCAAATAATAAAGTGGTGGAGATTGGCATTATTACTTTTTGGTACAGTACAAAATAGATTAAAATGAATCTGGCTGGTTTATCTACACAGCCTAGACCATTTCAAAATGCTGAAGATGTCTGCCTTGGCTCTAATATGATGATGCCCTAGAGAGCTCTATATAAAGCTAGAAGAACTGCTCCTAAAGCAAGATTCAAAAATTTCTAGATTACAATTTTATGAATAAAATTAATTAACCAACAATTCATTACATTCTAAAAGCTTCATCTGACCATAATAATCCTTGTTTGCAGCCCAAACAGTATTTGGTAATTGCAGAATGATGGAGCAATGTGGATATTTTTTGATTACAGTTCATTACATAAGATTACAAGGAAGAATTTGTCTTTGAATCATAATGAAAACTTAATTGACACCACTATTCTAAAATATTTCCAAAGATTAAATTTCAGTCTGTGTCTTAATCAGTTTTATATTAGAAAGAGATTTTAACAAGATAATGCTGTGAACATAATTTCATTGCATTATAAAACCTTTGGCTGAATCTCATAAGTAATTAAAACTGCAGCCATCTTGGAAATCGGACACAAATGCAATTCTAATTTTAATATTATTTAAGGTTATACAATTTCAAGTTTCTTTTATTTTTCTCTACTACTTGTAATCAAATTTAAGCTTTTCCCTCCCCCCCTCCCCCCCCCTAAATAGTCTAAAATTTATACTTGCAATACAATTTCAAGAGGGATAAACGCCAGACACCAGAACCATACCTCAGGACGTAAGTGAAACTTAAGCAACAACATGGTAATATCACAAAATGCAGTTACTTTTCTACACGATATGTGCAATGATTCCCAAAGACTGCTCTCTCAGATCTTTCACTCTATGCAGAGGTGCTCTCAGCTGAGGGTAAATGTGCTGAGAGCTCATTCAGATATAGAGCGCTCTTCACGTGTCCTGGGGCCACATTCAATAAGGCATTTCTACCATGAGCTCACATTTCAGAGGTCTTTCTCAACACTGTATTCAATAAAATAACAGACAGATAATCTCTTGTGGAGATAAGAGGATGCATTGCACGACTACAGTGCTGCCCATCCTTCATATAGACACAATTGGTTGCCAAAAGCTTTAGAGTGGCAATAGCACATTTTGAACTAAAATACCTGGAGGGAAGGACACAGAGTCAGCCTCTTAGAAAATGCTGTGCAGTTGTGACTCAGCCTGTCCAGTGATAGGCAACTACTATGCACTTTCAGCTGAACTCCTTCTGACATTTATGAAGATCCCACAGCTTGAATTAGGGGTAACTCATCAAATCACTGAACCAGTTGCCATTTAAAGGGTCCAGCTGGCTTGTATGCTAGAGGCACAGTCAAGAGAAGTGCAAAATTCAGGCTCCCGTTGAACAGCTAATTGCCAAACAAGGAAGCAAGAAATTAAGAACAGTCTGGGGGAAAAAAAAAAAAAGTTATTTGTGCTACATTGCATGGTTCATTAAAATTTAATGCCCTGTGTTAAAACCCATCATAACTGTTGATAAGATGATTAAAACCACACAGCCACAATATCTTGGTCCAGACTTCAAACAATATAACTGTGGATCCACGGTCTTGGTACAGGCTTATTTCTTACTACAAGCTATAAGGAACACAAACTACAAACCAATAGAGTACATTTTGCTCATTACTTAACTAAAATCTGCCATTTGCAAGAGTGTTCTGAATTTTTTTCTCTGAAAAAGCTGTTTTAACTGAGTATGTGAAAAATGGATAAAAAAACCTTGAATTTGTGCCAATAAGAAAAAATCAGAATAATAAAAAGATGCTACCGAGGAAAAGTTACTATTATACATGATTTCTGGATTCCATGACAGAGATAATATACTTAACATAATTATTCTGTGTATGCTAAAATACCTTTATAGACTAATCAGACCAAACACATGCCAAGCTCATAGCACTCACTGCAAGGTAGCATATATTTATATGGAGTCAAGGTTGGGAATACATATGGTTTATGTGATTCATAGACATATTTTTTTTTCAGTGATACATATATGTATACACACACACATGTATAAAATGGATAATAATTTTTAGAACCAAACAATGCAAGTGTAGGGAATGCAAATTTAAAATACATTTACAAGCAATCTATACATATGTAAATACACAGTTATAGCCTAATGAATTTTCTATTTGCTGCAGAATAGCCAAGCTCCTGTCTGAATGTCAAAGAACATCCCCTGCACTGAACAGCATGATGACAATTTTCTGTGTCTAAGTGACATCAAGAAGTATGGAGAAATGCATGTGTGTTCACAATAAATTAGGGTAGCACATTAATTGGCTTCCCCCCTAGGTATCAATTCCATGATAGTCTTGTCAAGAATAACAGGAGTAAAATAGTGAAATACAGATACCATGTATTAAAAAAAAGTTTATTTTTTTCATCAAAAATATTTACACACAGTTTTGCTTTGTTTATGTACAGTCATAAATGTAAGTTTAAAATTCAAGTTTAAACATCACAATTTCAAGAACACAAATTTATTGATTTCAAAATTAGCTTCAAGTTATCTGGCACACCTTTCCCTGGAACTCTCAGAAGGCATTTTACAGTAAGTTCAGCTGGTAACAGCTACCCATTTCCAAAAGAAGCAGTCCCACCTGCCCTGCGATCTTCCCCCTTGTGCACAGAAGCTGTTTTGCCTTGAACTACACTATTGTCTAACCCTTCAGTGACCAGGTCAGGGAGCTGAACTAGTGAAAACTAGTTTAAACTAGTGAAAAAAAATCCCAGGAAGATAAAATAGGCATTAATTGATCTGAGCATCATCCTCTGTTAATTATGTCGTCACCAACTTTTGCTGAGGACGAGAGGAAACAGCCTCAAGTTGCGCTAGGGAAGGTTTAGATTGGATGCTAGGAAAAATTTCTTCACCAAAAGGGTTGTCAAGCACTGGAACAGGCTGCCCAGGAAGTAAATACCCTGGAGGTATTTAAAAGATGTGTAGACGTGGCACTTAGGGACATGGTTTAGTGGTGGACTTGGCAGTGTTAGGTTTACAGTTGGGCTTGATGATCTTAAAGGTCTTTTCCAACCTAAATGATTCTCTGATTCTATGATAAAACCTGGTTTAAGAAAGCTGCATTGAAAAGCTACATAAAAAGAGCAATAATTTTCTTAAGTTTAACTACTCAAACCAGGGTGGGGCTAGATGAGCACCAGAAGATTGACACAAAAGGGACAGAATTTTGTCACCAGGGCCAAGGGAGAGAGTAATATTACTTCTTTGCCCAGCAGCTAACCACAAGACCATCTTAACTGCATTATGAAAGCATACACTTAGAGGTCATGGAAGAAAAGACAACAGTCTCTCCTGCTTACAACACATCACAACAAAACTTCACATTGCATACCATGGTTTATTTCCTATGCCTTTGACAGGCTAAGAGGAGACATCCTGAAAAGTAACTCTGCTTGTTATTGCCAGATCTTGATTTCTCCAGACCAATCACATGTTGCAAGGAGCGATGGCAAGACTGGGTGAAATATTGCACTTGCACAAGCTTCTTTATGTGCAGACAAAGTGCGAATAATCCTAGCAGTATGATAGTTGTAGAAAAACACTTTGCCATCTGAACTTCCTGTCACCAAAAGTGTTCCATCTGGAGAAAATTCACAGCCCACTGCAAATCCTTCCACCTGTGAAAATCAATAACAGTGTAACTATTGATGCTGATTAGAAAAGTTCTTTGTGATATACTGAAAATGAATATAGTATGAAAAAAGAATTGTATCTTTAAATAAAGATATACTAAGGACTTCTCCAGGTGTTTATTAAGACACAGCTATAACACAAACTTATTTAATCAAGCTATTAAGTATTCATCAAGTCTTCTAATAACTGTTTTCTTCAGAGTGCATATGATCCAAAATAGATTGGCACATGGGAAAGCAAATGAAGCCAATTAATATCTATCACTGATTTATAATCAAACACTATTAGCAGACATATTAAAAAGCACAGGTACTTTGCTATCTATCTTTGTTCTAGACTGGGATACTAAGTTCCTGGTGAAGAAGGATACCTTATGTCCTTCGTATCTTTTCTTTTTGTTGATTCGGTAAGGTCGCTGGGCAGAAAACAAAGCCATGTAGTTCCCGTTTGTCTGAGCAACAAACATAGACTCTTTTGGGTGCAGAGTCAGACTTGGGCAAGTGTAACGCTCCTGAAAATAATTTTAAAGAAAGTTTTGTCGTATGAAACAAAAGATTTGTTCAAACGATTCAGGTTATCTTTTGACATATTTGAAAGACCATGAAAGGCAAGGTATACATAAGTCATCTCCATAGTATACATTATACAAAGATGCTTAGTTCATTACAATCCACTGAAAGTCTTACACCAAGACAAATATTAAATCAAATCTCTACCCCAACTTCCTAGATACTGACCAAAATACCATCTCCCTCTGAACGATAATTATACTGCAGAACAGGTGCAGAAAGGTAACTCCAACCTGATTGTACTCAATCACCCTCCTCCTGCCCAAGGAAAACTGAAGTTTGAATGTGAAAGTGAATCCTCTTCTCCCATATCCCTTCCTCCATAGCCATACTGTGCCTTCCATGCTCCTTTGTACAGTTCTCAGATCCTCCATCCTCTCAGTTCTGGCCACACTGACAGGAACAGAAATCATCCCATTTAAACAGACCCCTTTCCCCACCCCACTCATAAAAAAAGAAAAAAGAAAAAAAAAAGGGATCATTAGTAGCCTAGTAAGTCAGAAGTTCCTTATGACAGTGATTCTTCATGTAGACTGCTGCTGGCTGTAAATTCATAAATAGCTGCAAAAATTAATAACACTTGGCTTTACTGTAGTGTTCCTATTTAAGACTGAATTAAGACTACTTTCAAAACTCTGCTTGGTGACTGCATCAGAAATCAACTGTTCTCGCAAGGTTTCCACCAGGTCCAAACCTCTTCTAGTTTCAGCCTAACCTAAAGGCACAGTGCTGAATTTTGATGCCATGAATTCGAATTAAGAGAGCTTTGGCTGTAGGATGCATCTGCATGTGAAGGACACCAGGCTGACAGTGACCACTGGACACCATGGGCTATGTGGTAGACTGGGAAGAACATCCCGACTGGTTGTGTTGTGTGGTTCGGAAGTGATGAACTGGGAAGGAAGTTCTGGATGTTGTAAAGGTATTGGGCACAGAAACCAAAACAGGGTTAGGCAGTGTGCCTGGTTAGGAGAGTGCTCCTTGGCAGAGCACTGCATGCTTCTGGGGTGAAACTGGGTCTAACAGTAAGGGTTCAGAAAGCACAATGCAATCTGCAGGAGCACTGTGCTGTTATGCTGGGTATACTGTAGTAATGGGTTATTTTAGAGCTCTTAACTATTCCTTTGTTAAGGCAGACAAGCAATAGATCAAGTCCTGTTGGGATGTAATCTGTTTGGAGAACTCAGGGGTTCTCTCCCACCTTGAAGGGTTCAAAGGTGAAATTCAGAAAAGTGAAAGAGAGTTTCCAAAATCGCCACCAAGTTTTGTTTATTCACAGTGCAGAAAAGGGGGAAAACAGTCCATTTCAGAGATGCTGTAGTTATGAGAAGGTAGGCTGTCTGGGGTTTTTTCTTGGTTTGTTTGGCAGGGGATAAGGAGGAAAAAGTTATTTGTTTTTTACTCCTTGATACTGAACCTGACTGGTCTGTACTTTATATATTCACAGCTTTGGGTTTTTTTCCTATTGCCTATCCAAGACGTTGATAGATCCAATATTGGACAAAGACATAACTGTGGAAATTAAACATGAAACAATCCCATTAGATCATCAACTACATGTCCTTGTCAGTAGAGAACTGTTCATTTCCGCCAAAAAGGATCTATATACAATCCGATCATATTATATTACATAGGATATTAGACCTGGGTTTTCAAAAAAGACCCAGGGAGTTGGAATTATCTATTAACTTCCTTGGTAATCTCCTTTGAAGCTGTCAGCCTTTCTAGACAATTTAGTCCATTAAATATCTTGCCTGGCTAGATTACTGAAAGAAATACTGCACCTGCACTGATAAAAGTAAATTTTGCCTCTGTGATTATGCTGTACTAGACTTCTATATGCATGTATCAGGTTGCTATTACTATGCAAATATTAAACTCAATTTGTCAATAGCCCTTATTGCAGCTGATGAAAAATGTATGAAAAACTGTGGGAAAAGAAATGTGGCAGTATAGCAACTGCTGCCATGCACCACTGGCAAGTTAGAATGACACTGCAGTGGCCTTGCCTAAATATAGCTTAGATGTCAGTGAATGAGCACTGAAATGTAAATATTTTTAACACAAGGAGACCTATCAGTCTTCAAGGTCATTTTTTAAGAATAAGTGTTTTTAAAATATAAAATAAAGTGAGCCCTCAACTTACATTAAGAGCATTTTATACATCACACAAGGGTCTTACAGAAAATCAAAAGCTTTTTTTTACAACACTGACAAGCATGAAATAATAAATCATGTCCCAAACAATGCTAGTTGTTAATCTTACATGAAAAATTTGATTGGAGATTTTTGCAGCACTTTGGAAGTCCCATGCAATAATGGTACGATCAGCTGAGTCCCGGCTTACTGCATCTGTGCTTGTAAGAAATTCTCTTCCTTCAGGGAGAAAGAGTACATCCAATGTCTGTTGTACTGCAGCTTTGTACACTCTTAACACCTAATGGATAAAAAAGTTTGTTATTTTTTGACAGATTAGAAGAACGTGATAACCTATGTTTTCTCTCTTTGTATTAATAAATATGTCCAACAAATTATATATTATTTTTAAATGTGAAAAAGTAACTAATTTTTAAATATACAAGTACTAGTGTATTCAATAGCTTGTTAATGTATGTAAAGAGTCCACACACAGGAAAATTAAAGGAGATAAAAGAAAGCATCAGTTTGTACAGTTTATATATTATATTTATATATACGTAAGATTCTGTTATAATTTCCCAAGGAATTAGAGTTAGATCCAGAAAGAGCTTTAGACAACACAATGTTGTGGAGCTGGGTCTACACAAACTCCCTTCTATTTTATGAATTCTTCTAGACTCCCTAGAAAAGGCAAGGGAATCTTTGGCAGCAGGCTGGCCAACTTGGTGAGGTGGGCTTTAAACTGAAGGACTCAGGGGGTGGGGTCCAAAGTGGCAATGCTGCGCCACTGCAACCAACTGGGGAATATGCCAGGCTGACCAGAGCAGCAACAAATGTTCCTTAGCTGCCTCCCAGATGAGAAGCAGAAGACCAGCCACCTCAAGTGTATGTATACGAATGCATGCAGCCTGGGGAACAAACAGGAGGAACTGAAGCTCCACGCCCAGTCAGAAAGTTATGATATCATAGGAATAACTGAAACATGGTGGGACAACTCATATGACTGAAGGATCACAATGTATGGCTATAGGCTGTTTCGTAAAGACAGGAAGGGAAGAAAAGGAGGAGGAGTAGTTGGGCTCTATGTTAAGGAGAATCCTGAATGTATAGAAGTCAGCTACGGTGGTTGTGGAAACCCTATTGAATGCCTCTGGGTCAATATCAGAGGGGTCATCTCCAAGGGGTATCTTACAGTAGGCATCTGCTACCAACCTCCAAACCAAAATGATAATGCAAACAAGGCAATATTTGGGTCACTTAAGTAAGCTTTGGGTCAACAGAACCTGGTTCTTATGGGTTACTTCAACTACCCAGGTATTTGTGGGAAGAACGATACAGCAGTTCACGTCATCCATCAAGTTCCTGGAATGCGTAGAGGACTGCTACTTCGTACAAATGTTAGATGTGCCAACCAGGTATTAGGCACTGCTGGACTTGCTACTCACAAACCAAGAAAACCTGCTCTGTAATATCTCAGTTAGTGATAGCTTTGGCTGCAGTGATCACAATATTGTGGATTTTGGGATCCTGTTGAGCACGCTGAAGATCAGTACTAAGACAAAGGCTCAGAGCTCAGTTGAGAGGCATTCCGTGGGAAGCTTCCATGGAGGATAAAGAAGCTAGCAAGTGTTGAGAGTTTTTCAAGAATGCTCTCCCGGAAGCACAAAACCAGTTCAACCCCTTTAAAGGTAAGGGAAGTAGGTGGAGCAGGAGACCCCCTTGGCTTAACTGTGAGCTTCTGAGTCTGCTCAAAACCAGAAGAGAAGTGTACCAGAGATGGAAGAGTGGACAAATACACATTGAGAACTACCAGGGTATTGCCAGGGCATGCAGAGATGCAGTTAAAAAACCAAAAGCTCAGCTCGAATTGAAATTGGCCAGAGATGGCAAAAACTACAAGAAAGGGTTCTTCAGGTATGTAAACAACAAGCAGAAACAAAAGGAAAATATTGGCCCACTGTTAAACAGGAGAGGTGAATTAGTCACCAACAGCGCTGAAATGGCAGAGGTTCCCAGCACTTTCTTCACCTCTGTCTTTACCAGCTCTGCTGGGCCCCAGGCCTTGGGAACAAAAATCCAGGTTGATGCAAACACAGACCCACTGTCAGTGAAGAAAGAGTCGGTATATGAACTATTACAGGAGCTTGACCCCTACAAATCGATGGGCCCTGACAATATCCACCCAAGGGTGTTAAGAGAGCTGTCTGACATCATTGCAAGTCTGCTCTCCATAATCTTTGAGAAGTCATGGAGATTGGGGTACATTCTGGAAGACTGGAAGAAGGCCAATGTCACTCCCATCTACAAGAAGGGCTTAAAGAAGGATCCAGGAAATTATAGGCCCACCAGTCTTACTTCAGTCCCTGGGGAAGTTATGGAGTGAATCCTCCTGGAGGCTAGCACAAGTCAAATGAAGCACATGATTGAGAACACCCAGCACGGATTCACCAAAGGCAAATGATGCTTGACAAACCTGATCACCTTCGACAACAAAGTAACCTGCTCGGTTGATGTGGTGTAAGTGGTGGACACTGTCTACCTGGATTTTTCCAAGGCTTTTGATATGGTTTCCCACAGCCTCCTCCTTGAGAAACTGATGCGTTATGGTCTAGACAAGTGGTCCATGCAGTGGGTGGAGAACTAGCTGACAGGCTGTACCCAGAGGGTGGTGGTCAATAGCTCCTTTTCAAACTGGCAACTTGTCACAAGTGGGGTCTCCCAGGGATCGATATTGGGCCCAACACTATTCAATATCCTCATAAGTGATCAGGATGATTGGATCAAGTGTACCCTGATGAAGTTTGCTGATGATACCAAACTGAGTGGGGAAGCAGACACTTTGGAAGGGAGAGCCACCTTGCAGAAAGACCTGGATAGGCTGGAAGAGTGAGCTAACAAGAACCTTAAAAAGTTCAACGAAGACAAATGTAAGGTCTTGTACCTGGGAAAACATAATCCAGGAGTGCAGCATAGGCTGGGATCTTCCTGGCTGGGGAACAGCTCTGTGGAAAAGGGAACTGGGAGTCCTGGTGGACAACAAGCTCAGTGTGAGTGAACGGTGTACTGCTGTGGCAAAGAAAGCCCACATGATGCTGGGTTGCATCGACACAGGCATCACCAGCAGAGATAAAGAAGTCATTATCCCACTCTACTCATTGCTTGTCAGGCCACACCTGGGATATTACATTCAGTTTTGGTCCCTGCTGTACAAAAAAAAGTTGTGGACAGGCTGGAGAGGGTCCAGAGAAGGGCCACAAAGATGATCAAAGGACTAGGAAGCCTGCCATATGAGAAAAGGGTGAGAGAACTGGGTTTGTTCAGCCTTGAGAAAAGAAGGCTTAGGGGAGAGCTTATCAGCATGTTCCAGTATTTAAAGGGTGGCTACAAAGAAGATGGAGACTCCCTTTTTACAAGGAGTCACATGGAAAAGATGAGGGGTAACGGGTACAAGTTACTCCTGGGGAGATTACAATTGGACACAAGAGGAAATTTTTCATAACAAGAACAATCAGCCACTGGAATAATCTCAGGGAAGTGGTGGATTCCCCGACACTGGACACTTTTAAGATTTGGCTGGACAGGGTGCTCGGCCATCTTGTCTAGACTGTGCTTTTGCCATGAAAGGTTGGACCAGATGATCCTTGAGGTCCCTTCCAACCTGGTATTCTATGATTCTATGACTGAACTCAGAGCACTCTGATGATCAGTCTGAGGATCTCTCCTGCCTCCTTCCTTCCAGGAAACTTCAGAAGTGTAAGTTTTTGGTCTTTTTGTTCTCAAAATCTTCAGCTAGTTATAGAGCCAGGGTAAGGAAAGTAATTAGGTTAGCGGGGATTTGGGACTTACAGTAATGAAAAGGACATGGCAGGAAGTGAATATTCTTGTTGATCATTCCGGACTTAATTATAAATCACTGTTTATGACTGGGGATGAGTACATTTCATGATTCAGGCTCTCTCAGTCCCACGCTGCTGTGTGTCATTGCTTAACTTGCAAGTGGTGAGACCCTGGTGTCAGGACTGTACGGCAAGGGAGCAAAGCTTGCATGCTCAGTCAGAAACTGCCTATGAGGCCAATATGGACAAGCTCAGCAGAAGCGTACACCATTCACCCTGCAAAAGATACCTCAATGCCATTAAGGACTTGGTCTGAGACCCTCTTCTGAAAAAAGAAACCCAAGCAGAGTTTGCTCTTTTAAAGTGCTGCCAGTGAGGGAGGGACAGAGGTGACAGTAGCACTGCTGTCAAACAGTTCAGTGCTTTAAGAACTCAGCCAGGATCGTGCCTTGGTCTACAGGGATTCAATCCCACACCTCCCACCTCATCTGCCTACCGACTATCCTAGCAAGAGGCAGTCTCTGCTGCTTCTGCTGAAGTAGAGGCTTTTTCTGTCACTGCTGAAAATGCAGGGCAGCAGGGAAAGAAAGAGTCATCAATACTTCAAAGCACATCTGGGCTCAAGATTAAATAATGTGGCTCATCCACTAGTTCCCATCACATAATTAATGCATATGAACAATCTCTAAAGAAATTTGTGATGTAAAAGGAAATACCAAAGTTCCCAAATCTTCTTCCCAAATTAAAAACACCAGAGCTCCCAAATCTAGATCCTCTTTCAGGACTTATACCAAAGTGGGTTGGATCCATGCAGAAATGGGTCCTCAGCCACAGGACTCTGAGTATTTTAACAGTCTGTGAGTTGGATCTTAAAAAGTAAGAGAGATTTTGAACTATTCTAAGGAATGTATGAACAATTTGAATTTCCTTTCTTTCCACCTTTCTTGATGAAATTCTGCATCTATGTTGTCTACTTTGAGTTTTGCAAATCAATACTTTTGCTTTCTTTTTCTCTGATTTGCCTCCAGTAAAGAGAAACTTCAAGGCAAGTCACCAGATCAAAGCAATCCATCTCTCTGAATATGGTGATCCTTAAAACTAGGACACTGGAAGACTCCTAGTTATTAATATCTAAATCTCTCTCTGTCCAAGATAGCTAAAACATAGGAGCCTGCACTTCTAATAGGTTGTTCAGAGGTTAGTCCTTCTTCTAATGTCACTAGAAAAATGAACAGAGCAGAGAGAGTGCTTCTAGTGTTATACTGAAATCGTTCCCAACTTTGTGAGGCATTTTAGTACCTACCTTATACCCCTAACATAGCACATAACTACTAACTTCAGGGCCCAGACCTTCCACAGATACTATAAGCACATATATTTAAAAAAAATAATTTTCAGGTGTTGCAGTGAAATATTCTGGATTATACCTCTGTTTTATACTTTAACCAATAAAAGAAAAATC